AGCAAGTCTCTTCTTATTATTCGTGTCCTTTAGTAGTGGTTTCTTTGCAGCAATTCGACCATGAAGGCCTGATTCACGCAGTCTCCTCTGAACAGTTGATGTTGAGATGTGTCTTGAACTCTGTGAAGCATTTATTTGGGATGCAATCTGAGGTGCAGTTAATTGCCGATTTCTGAAGCTGGTAACTCTAATGAACTTATCCTCTGCAGCAGAGGTAAGTCTGGGTCTTCCTTTCCTGTGGCGGTCCTCATGAGAGCCAGTTTCATTATAGTGCTTGATGGTTTTTGTGACTACACTTGAAGAAACTTTCAAAGTTCTTGAAATGTTCCGTATTGACTGACCTTCATGTCTTAAAGTTTCTCTTTGCTTATTTGAGCTGTTCTTGCCATAATATGGACTTGGTATTTTACCAGATAGGGCTATCTTCTGTATACCAACCCTACCTTGTCACAACACAACGGATTGGCTCAAACACATTAAGAAGGAACGAAATTCCAAAACTTTTAACAAGGCACACCTGTTAATTGAAATGCATTCCAGGTGACTACCTCATGAAGCTGGTTGAGAGAATGCCAAGAGTGTGCAAAGCTATCATCAAAGCAAAGGGTGGCTGCTACTATTTTGATTTGTTTAACCCTTTTTTGGTTACAACATGATTCCATGTCTTATTTCATAGTTTTTATTTCTTCACTATTATTCTACCATATAGAATATTGTAAAAATAAAGAAAAACTCTGGAATGAGTAGGTGTGTCCAAACTTTTGACTGGTACTGTACTTCTGCAGTGAAAAATAATTGCAAACTCTTTGAGAGCTGATTAACATTTTGAATTTATACCTTATGTAGGTCATTATGGCTTAACTGTGATGTGCACATAACACACACTTTCACATAAATCTTCCAACGATGTCTATAGGAGATTTGAGTGAAGATGTGAGTTACAAGCATAGCTCCCCAGATACGGCCCTAGACACACAAATAAACAACGGTGGTGATCCGCTCTGACTTTCGCATGTCAAGATCCCATTTGCAGCTCTGGGAAGCACCCCCTCCTGTTCGCAGAGGTCGAGTAAAATAATATGTGAGCTGATTTGTAAAGTCACTTGATATGGATCCAAATGACAGCAATGCAGGGAAAATGCCCCCTGCGCTCTCTCTCTCTCTCTCTAGCGGCAGATTCTTCAGGGCTCATGTTTCAGAGCAAAGTAGGAATCCACAGTCGATTCCGGCTCACGGAAGAGCAGAGGCAAGATGGCAGCTATGTCAATAACAGACAGGCCCTCCACTGACATCTACCACCACCGAACACCCCCTCCTACTCTGCACCCTTTTGCCCAATATTTTTATTAGAAACTATGTGCAGAGAGGTAGAGATGACCTCGAAACCTTAAAGTGAAAGAGGGTGGGGTGTGTTTGTGTGTGCGCATGTATACATGTGTGTGTGTGCCTGTGTTTATTAACCACTCTGTAATTAGCACATATGAATACACTTAAAAGTGAGTATTCTATTAAGCTCAGGGACTGAGAACAGTTATGCCAAACCAGGAATCAAAACTGATTTTAAACCCTATATTGTCTGCTTGGCTGCTGTTTGTGACCAAACTGGCCTCAGATCAGTGCTTAGGGGCCACAACCCCCTACCAAACACTGTCCTGTTTAGAGTACTAAGGTAGGCTTATATTGAACCAGATATGCCTAACTACAGTCCTCGAGGACCATTGTGATGGTTTCATTCAGGCTACACCCTAAAGTGCAGAGTAAGGCAGAATAACATTTATGTTTTGACAAAGTATGACACGTGCACCGGGTCAGTGTTTTAAAAAAATATAAACATTTATTTGAGAAAAGGAGGGAGAAGAAATGTAGAGAAGTGGGAGAAAAGGGAGTGGAAATGGAAATGGAAGTATATATATAGGAATTGATGGCAATTGAGCAGACATTCATTAGCCATTGGTCACAAGGGTGCATTTGAAGGCTCTTGCCACTGCTGTCAAGAAGTTCTGTATCACCCACCTTTTTGACCTGGGCTTTTTGACAGCCTTCATCTGATGATCTGCTCTCTGAACCTTTATGGTCCAGGGGCATCTGCAGCCTTGTCTTGTGCTCACTGAAGCTCCTAACGTAGTCCTCTGGCTGCAAGTCTGGAGGTCACAAAGCCTCCAGAAGGCATCTAGACACAAGTTTGCAGACCTCTAGACACAAGCTGATATCTAAGAGTAGGACCTCCCTCCTCACCTCTCGTTTGAGTGACAGTGTAAGAGTACACTCCCTTCTGATCTCTTCGATTACTTCTTTCACAAAACTGAGCCACCGCTCTATGTCGTCCAAACGTTTGAGTCAGAACCAGAAGACCCTGCTCCTCTGATAGGCATCTACATCATTCTTCATGAAGCTGACAATGTGTCCTACCATGTTATCGTGTAGAGCTGTGAGGTTGTTCTTTCCCGCTGAGAAATGCCATGTGTCGCCGAACAGCTCCTTTAGGGTCAGCTGGATGAGAGTGATGGTTGGGTTCTCAGGCTGAACTTTGATTTTCTTCAAGGAGGCGATTTCCCTCCTGACTGGTCCAAATACCAGCCAGTCCACGTTGGTGTTGGGTAGCCACTTTATGATCCTCTCTAGCTCCTTGGGTTCTCTAGCTCCTTGGGTTCTCTAGCTCCTTGGGTTCTCTAGCTCCTTGGGTTCTCTAGCTCCTTGGGTTCTCTAGTTTCTGGAGCTTCTCTTGCTCCTGACATCTGTCAGGTCAGAGACACTTCTCAATAACTATCTTTCCTGGATATCAGTTCCTCATACCTAGGGTTGCAAAGTGAGGGAATATTACTGGAAACTCTCAAAGTCTACCAGTAAACTACCAGAGTTGAGTAACTTTCAAGTTTTGGGGGGAATTTTATAAGATGACATCTTATACAATTGGGTACTTCAGATTATCAGAAGTGTCTTATGTCTGGCCCTCTGTGTGGCCTTATCATATGTAAAATATATAAAATAATCAAATAAAATGATTTTCAAATAAACAATAAAATCACAAAGCTGTAAAACAATATATTAAAACAGCCCTTTTTACATCAGCAGATGTCACAAAGTGCAATACAGAAACTCAGCCTAAAACCCCAAACAGCAAGCAATGCAGATGTAGAAGCACGGTGGTTAGGAAAAACTCCCTAGAAAGGCAGGAACCTAAGAAGAAACCTATAAAGGAACCAGACTCTGAGGGGTGGCCAGTCCTCTTCTCGCTGTGCCAGGTGAAGATTATAGGCCAGATTGTTCTTCAAGATGTTCAAACGTTCATAGATGACCACCAGGGTCAAATAATAATCACAGTGGTTGTAGTTTTCATTAATTAGGTGATTTTCTCTTGAACCATATGGTTTATCCACTAGAAACCCATGGACAATATGGACACAGATATAAAAAAAAGTAATACTATATGTGAATGCATTTTTTTCAGTTATTCAAGTATAAATTACTTTCCATAGATTCTGTTAATTACCAAAATTACTGAAGATTGTTGTATCTCATGTTAATATTAATTTAAAAGCAAGAGTCTATTGGCGCACCTGTGTGTCAATCTAAGTAACGTATTTTAAAAATCCACATCCAAATCCGTCAGTTTAAGCATGGGCTGCGTCTCAATCCACTGCATCCACCTATGTCAGCCTTCCGCATCTGCGGTGGAAGGTGGCCGAGCTACAGCGGTGTTTGTCAGACCATGAGACAATCCCAAAAATCAGTCTTCACACAAAAACGTCTGTAGCACCCGACTATTGTGACCACTATGGAAAGGGGAGACGTTTCCACCACACACAATGCTGGCTCACTGAGTCAGTGGCTAGATGTTTGGAGTGGAGACTACAGAAAGTCGGGTGCAAGGGTTGTTGTTCATCTGGCTACTCATCCTAGGATGCAAGAGGCGGCAGGGAGAGGCTCATGCTGGCTGTCCTCTTATAAAAGGAACGCCAACCTGCCAGGCAATACAAATAATATAAAATATATACCCAATATGCACAGGTGTTCCCAATTGTGGAATCAATGAGTCCATTTCAAACAAACAGAAAGGAGTGTGACGGCAGACATTACGCAATTCAAAGTAAGAGGTACCAAAACTCATACATTGAACAAGACTTAGTCTTGTCAAAGAATGACAAGTTGATGGGTTGAAAGGCAAGTTTGCCTACACCAATGCTATTAAATGAATGCAACATATTTGTAATGAATATGGACCTCTGCTATGGAGATAGAATGTTACATGAAGGTTGGCTAAACACATTGTCACAGTAGAAAAGAATGCACACAAAATTCTACAACCTGCGCTTGCCTATTCCTCTGGGGAAGGTTCACATTCTAGTGACTTGTAAAAAAAGATGTGCAGCAGCTGGCAGGTAATCCAGCATGATCATCAGATCTCTGTATTTTTCTTTCTTTACTGGAAGAGGATACTCATAGGCCCTGGGGTGGTGGCTTGTGAAGCTCCACGCTTCAGCTTACAGACAAACTAGGACTTCCATCAATCGTACTGGCTGTGGCTCTGCCTGGTATGTATGTTCCAAGGATAATCAGCTGAAGTTATAAGGGACAACAGAAACAATATTTACGATACAATTCTAATTTGTTTTTCAACCAAATGCCCTACCATCACTTTTGGTATAAAGTAGTGTGCCAGGGTTAGGGAACCCCTCTAAAAGACAGACAAACAGCGAGACAGATTTTTTTTGTAAAGTACCTAAGAGTTTGAGCCACATCAGTGAGGTGATGTGTAGTCCAGCTGGTCGCTTGAGGACAGAATCTGGGAGCTGCCTGAAGTCTTCACACACCATTTGAATGACATTAAAGGAATCTTCGGGTCTTGCCTGTGCAATCATTGTTGCGACATCATCATGGGTATGAAGTACTGAAACCTTGCGTCGTTTCTCAATCATAGGGAAGAAATGAGTGCCCAGACACCACTAACTTTTGTTCCACTTGCGAGAAATAACCGAATGAGATGAGCAATGGCATTAGGTTCAGCATTCGCCAGTTGTTGTTCTGGCCATAGCATGCCAAATGCACATAGTTGCAGGCTCCTCTGTTCCTAACTCTTGAACGCAAAGGTTGTAGTTTGATAGCTGCCTTTGGTAGTTAATGTTGAAGTGAGTTAGGTTAGGTGTGTACATCATGCCCTGCAAATCTACACATACTTTATAACATGTCAGTCACTGTTGGCTTTGGCCCACTCTGTGTCGTTTTGGAGCTGTGAGTACGCTTTCTCAGCTTTCCTGTGGTGCAGCTCACTCTCTGCCAACACCATCGTCCTCTCCTCTTCTGTGGCTACTGATGACAGTTTGTGTAAGGGTTGGGTTGAGGTGTGACCCAGGTGCGGTGCAGGATATACAGTAGGCAGTTTTACATTTTAGTCATTTAGCAGACGCTCTTATCCAGAGCGACTTACAGTTAGTGAGTGCATACATTTTCATATGGTGAAACAAGGCTCTTTACTGGTGGTCCCAAAGCCAAAATACAAAATAACGGACTTATCACGATAAAAAAGAAAGGCGGAGCAAATAAGTCTCAAATAACCGGCTGACAGCCAAAATACGAAATTCTACCTAAGACTGAAACAAATAACGAAACAGGGAGAACACTTCTCAAGTACCTGTACATAGATCTCCGATCAGACACGGAGTAGTACTGCTGGACATAGAGAAACTAGCAGAGAAAACTGAGCAAGGGAACACAGGAAAGTGAGGGCATAAATACACAGGTGAATTGATAGACAGGTGACACCAATAGGATGATGATTAGTCCCGACTGTGAGTGAGGAGGTACCTAAGGTTGTCGGAGGATGACACCTAGTGGATCGCTCCGGAACTGCGACCCCCGGGAGGACGGCGGCTACAGACCGTCACCGGCCCAGACCTGACAGACATTCCCCGGGAGTATTTAGATCTGGGGGAGGTGTTTAGTAAGAGGCGTGCCAAGGGCCTACCTCCTCACAGGCCACACGACTGCGCTATCAATCTCCTGCCGGGCGCCATGCCCACACGAGGGCGATTGTTTTCCTTGTCCCGGCCAGAGACACTGGCCATGAGGGAGTATATCGACGAGGCACATCCATCCCTCTACCTCACCCGCGGGCGCGGGCTTCTTCTTCGTGGGGAAAAAGGACGGTGGGCAGCGGCCGTGCATTGATTACCGGGCGCTCAACAACGTCACAGTTAAGAACCGCTACCCACTCCCCCTGACGACGGAATTCGAGTCATTGCAGGGAGCCTGGGTCTTCACCAAGCTGAATTTACGTAATGCCTACAACCTGGTGAGGATTCGGGAGAGGAACAAGTGGATGACGGCTTTTAACACACCCAGTGGGCAATACAAGTACCAAGTCATGCCGCTCGGTCTAGAAAACGCGCCTGCAGTGTTCCAGGCGTTGGTCAATGACGTGCTCCGGGACCTCTTCGACTACAGCGTCTTCGTGTATTTGGATGACATCCTAATATTTTCGAAGGACATGAGTGAACACAACAGCATGTTCGGCAGGTCCTCCAACGCCTTCTCCATCACCAGCTCTACGTCAAGGCAGAGAAGTGTGTGTTCCACACAGAGACAGTCTCTTTCCTGGGGTTCATCGTCACCCAGGGGGACCTACGGATGGACCCAGTCAAGGTCAGCGCGGTACTGGATTGGCCCCAGCCCTCATCCCTCAAGCAACTACAAAGGTTTATAGGGAATGCCGAGAGTGTGCAAAGCTCTCATCAAGGCAAAGGGTGGCTATTTGAAGAATCTCAAATATAAAATATATTTTGATTTGTTTAACACTCTTTGGTTACTACTTGACTCCATATGTGTTATTTCATAGTTTTTATGTCTTTACTATTATTCTACAATGTAAAAAATAGTAAAAATAAAGAAAAACCCTTGAATGAGTAGGTGTGTCCAATCTTTTGACTGTTGCTGTATATACATACATACATACATACATACATACATACATACATACATACATACATACACATATCCTTTAAAAATATATATATTTTCCTTATCTCTTAACACCATCCATATTGGATTTCTATTTGCCATATATTTTTCAACTGTGCTGTGATGTTTCACAAAAGTTCTGAAACTTTCTATTCTCATTGTTTCTACAGATTGTAAATTGAAAATAAATGTCTTTGCTAAAAGTATTATTATATTATTGATCGATTGACTATGACTTTTCAGATCACCCAGTAGTGCTATCTGCAGGGTTAGCTCCAGGTAAATATTGCAATCCTTCAGCCATTCCTAGACCTGTGACCAAAAACAAGCTACATATGGACAGTACCAAAACAAATGATCTAATGATTCTGTCTCTTCGCAGCAAAATCTGCAGAGCTGTGAAGGTTGTATCCCCCATATAAATAACATTCTACTGATTGCAAGAATTTTGTATAATAATTTAAATTGAAAACTTCTAAGTTTTGAATCCGGCGTCGTTTTGCGTGTCAGTTCATAAACCATGTGCCATTTAATCGGTACGTCAAAAATCTCTTCCCAACTATTTTGCAATCTATATGGCACGTCAGTACATTTTTTGGTCCTTAAATGAAACTGATATACTTTTTTATTCATCACTATTTTCTTTAACCAATTATGGTATTTAATGCAGGGTCGACAGACAAGTTCCTTACTTTTTCCCCCTTCCACTTTCCTCTTCCATTTTTGCGGTAATGCTGGAATTAGTTGGTTGTAATTTTGGGTAGAGCAGACATTTTCATATGTTTTTGTTAGCTGCATGTGCGACATAACTCCACCAGTCCTATCTATAATATCATTTTCGAAGACTATACCTATTTTAACTTTAACCACAATATTTGTTGCATTATTTGTTCTGTCCTTTCCGGAGGATTAAATTGAAATTGCAACCAACTTTCTATGACTTGTTTTAAAAATAGCAATATTTGGGAGATGATTTCCTTTTCAAATAACTGAAAGTGAGAGGTTGTAATCTGAATAAAGGGAAAAAGGCCATTCTTGAACATAGGGTGAGACATTATTACTAATTTGCTAGAGAACCAGTTGGATTTAAGTATAACTTTTGTATAACTGAAGCCTTTAGTGAGAGGTCTAATGCTTTAATATTTAATCATTTCTGAGGGTTCTTCTCTTTATAGAGCCTGTCCACAGGTGGAGCAGATTAAGATCTGGACTGAGGTACTCTCAGTCCGCATCCCCCCTCTTCCTAGAATAATGGTTCGACAGTTGTGGAAAGGACAGAATATGTTCTTTGATGTCCTCTCTCACAGTGAGATGTATGCGGTGTGGCCTGCAAAACAGAATAAGTCATTACTAACAATAGGAGATAACGTTATGATCTAAAGACAAATGAATCAAAGAGCATATTGTGTTGGTAAAAAAGATGCAGGGGACAGGGACAACCCTTGTAACCCATTACCTGTCATTCATCTATTTATTCACTTATTTATTTATTGCGCGCTCTAATTGATTATCACGCTGTATGAAAAATGGAAATTAGTAATGTTTTAGCCTACCTATTGCTATGCTTGCCACTTCCATCTTCCAACAGAGACCTAACTTCAGTAGGTCTAATCTGAGCAGGTCTCAGTAGGTCTAACCTCAGTAGGTCTAACCTCAACAGGTCTCAGTAGGTCTAACCTCAGTAGGTCTAACCTCGGCAGGTCTCAGTAGGTCTAACCTCAGTAGGTCTAACCTAAGTAGGTCTCACCTCAGTAGGTCTCACCTCAGTAGGTCTCAGTAGGTCTATACTCAGTAGGTCTAACCTCATTAGGTCTAACCTAAGCAGGTCTCAGTAGTTCTAACCTCATTAGGTTTAACCTCAGCAGGTCTAACCTCAGTAGGTCTAACCTAAGCAGGTCTCAGTAGTTCTAACCTCAGTAGGTCTAACCTCAGTAGGTCTAAACTGAGCAGGACTGAGTAGGTCTAACCTCAGTAAGTGTAACCTCAATAGGTCTCAGTACGTCTAACCTCAGTAGGTCTAACCTCAGCAGGTCTCAGTAGTTCTAACCTCAGTAGGTCTCAGTAGGTCTAAATTCAGTAGGTCTAACCTCAGCAGGTCTCAGTAGGTCTAACCTCAGTAGGTCTAAGTAGGTCTAACATCAATGGGTCTAACCTCAGTAGGTCTAACCTCAGCAGGTCTAAGTAGGTTTAACCTCAGTAGGTCTAACCTCAGTAGGACTAACCTCAATAGGACTCAGTAGGTTTAACCTCAGTAGGTCTAACTCAGTAGGTCTAACGTCAGTAGGTCCAACCTCAGTAGGTCTCAGCAGGTCCAACCTCAGTAGGTTTAACCTCAGCAGGTCTAACTTCAACAGGTCTAACCTCAGCAGGTCTCAGTAGGTCTAAATTCAGTAGGTCTAACCTCAGCAGGTCTCAGTAGGTCTAACTTCAGTAGGTCTAAGTAGGTCTAACCTCAATGGGTCTAACCTCAGTAGGTCTAACCTCAGTAGGACTAACCTCAGTAGGACTCAGTAGGTTTAACCTCAGTAGGTGTAACTCAGTAGGTCTAACGTCAGTAGGTCCAACCTCAGTAGGTCCAACCTCAGTAGGTCTCAGCAGGTCCAACCTCAGTAGGTTTAACCTCAGCAGGTCTAACCTCAGCAGGTCTAACCTCAGCAGGTCTAACCTCAGCAGGTCTCAGTAGGTCTCAGTAGTTCTAACCTCAGTAGGTCTAACCTCAGTAGTGGTAACCTCAGTAGGTCTAAACTCAGTAGGTCTAACCTCAGTGGGTCTAAACTCAGTAGGTCTAACCTCGGCAGGTCTCAGTAGGTCTAACCTCAGTAGGTCTAAACTGAGCAGGTCTCAGTAGGTCTAACCTCAGTAGGTCTATCCTTTGTAGGTCTCAGTAAGTCTAACCTCAGTAGGTCTAACCTCAGTAGGTCTAACCTCAGTGGGTCTAACCTCAATGGGTCTAACCTCAATGGGTCTAACCTCAGAAAATCTCAGTAGGTCTAACCTCAGTAGGTCTAACCTCAGCAGGTCTCAGTAGATCTAACCTCAGTAGGTCTAACCTGAGCAGGTCTCAGTAGGTCTAACCTGAGCAGGTCTAACCTCAGTAGGTCTAACCTCAGTAGGTCTCAGTTGGTCTAACCTAAGTAGGTCTAACCTCAGTAGGTCTAACCTCAGTATGTCTCAGTAGGTCTAACCTCAGTAGGTCTAACCTCAGTAGTTTATACAACCTGAGCAGGTCTCAGTAGGTCTAACCTCAGCAGGTCTCAGTAGGTCTAACTTCAGTAGGTCTAAGTAGGTCTAACCTCAATGGGTCTAACCTCAGTAGGTCTAACCTCAGTAGGACTAACCTCAGTAGGACTCAGTAGGTTTAACCTCAGTAGGTGTAACTCAGTAGGTCTAACGTCAGTAGGTCCAACCTCAGTAGGTCCAACCTCAGTAGGTCTCAGCAGGTCCAACCTCAGTAGGTTTAACCTCAGCAGGTCTAACCTCAGCAGGTCTAACCTCAGCAGGTCTAACCTCAGCAGGTCTCAGTAGGTCTCAGTAGTTCTAACCTCAGTAGGTCTAACCTCAGTAGTGGTAACCTCAGTAGGTCTAAACTCAGTAGGTCTAACCTCAGTGGGTCTAACCTCAGTGGGTCTAAACTCAGTAGGTCTAACCTCGGCAGGTCTCAGTAGGTCTAACCTCAGTAGGTCTAAACTGAGAAGGTCTCAGTAGGTCTAACCTCAGTAGGTCTATCCTTTGTAGGTCTCAGTAAGTCTAACCTCAGTAGGTCTAACCTCAGTAGGTCTAACCTCAGTGGGTCTAACCTCAATGGGTCTAACCTCAATGGGTCTAACCTCAGAAAATCTCAGTAGGTCTAACCTCAGTAGGTCTAACCTCAGCAGGTCTCAGTAGATCTAACCTCAGTAGGTCTAACCTGAGCAGGTCTCAGTAGGTCTAACCTGAGCAGGTCTAACCTCAGTAGGTCTAACCTCAGTAGGTCTCAGTTGGTCTAACCTAAGTAGGTCTAACCTCAGTAGGTCTAACCTCAGTATGTCTCAGTAGGTCTAACCTCAGTAGGTCTAACCTCAGTAGTTTATACAACCTGAGCAGGTCTCAGTAGGTCTAACCTCAGTAGATCTAGTAATGCATTAGCCTACCTATTGCTATGTTTGCCTCTTCCATCTTCTAACAGAGACATAACCTCAGTAGGTCTAACCTGAGCAGGTCACAGTATGTCTAACATCAGTAGGTCTAACCTCAGTAGGTACAACCTGAGCAGGTCTCAGTAGGTCTAACCTCAGTAGATCTAACCTCAGTAAGTCTAAACTGAGCAGGTCTCAGTAGGTCTAACCTTAGTAGGTCTAACCTGAGCAGATCTCAGTAGGTCTAACCTGAGCAGGTCTAACCTCAGTAGGTCTCAGTTGGTCTAACCTAAGTAGGTCTAACCTCAGCAGGTCTCAGTAGGCCTAACCTCAGTAGGTCTAACCTCAGTAGGTTTATTTGAAGAATCTCAAATATAAAATATATTTTGATTTGTTTAACACTTTCTTGGTTACTACATGATTCCATATGTGTTACTTCATAGTTTTGATGTCTTTCCTATTATTCTACAATGTAAAAAATAGTAAAAATAAAGAAAAACCCTTGAATGAGTAGGTGTGTCCAATCTTTTGACTGTTGCTGTAACCTCAGTAGGACTCAGTAGGTCTAACCTCAGTAGGTCTAACCTCCGCAGGTCTCACTCAGTAGGTCTCACTCAGTAGGTCTCACTCAGTAGGTCTCGCCTCAGTAGGTCTAACCTCAGCACGTCTCAGTAGGTCTAACCTCAGTAGGTCTCAGCAGGTCTAACCTCAGTAGGTCTAACCTCACTAGGTCTAACCTCAGTAGGTCTCAGTAGGTCTAACCTCAGTAGGTCTAACCTGAGCAGGTCTCAGTAGGTCTAACCTGAGCAGGTCTAACCTCAGTAGGTCTAACCTCAGTAAATCTCAGTAGGTCTAACCTCAGTAGGTCTAACCTCAGCAGGTCTCAGTAGGTCTAACCTCAGTAGGTCTAACCTGAGCAGGTCTAACCTCAGTAGGTCTAACCTCAGTAGGTCTAACCTCAGTAGGTCTCAGTTGGTCTAACCTAAGTAGGTCTAACCTCAGTAGGTCTAACCTCAGTAGGTGTAACCTCAGCAGGTCTCAGTAGGTCTAACCTCAGTAGGTTTACTTGAAGAATCTCAAATATAAAATATATTTTGATTTGTTTAACACTTTTTTGGTTACTACATGATTCCATATGTGTTACTTCATAGTTCTGATGTCTTTCCTATTATTCTACAATGTAAAAAAAAATTAAAATAAAGAAAAACCCTTGAATGAGTAGGTGTGTCCAATCTTTTGACTGTTGCTGTATATATATATATATATATATATATATATATATACACATACATACATACATACATACATACATATCCTTTAAAAATATATATATTTTCCTTTATTTCTTTCTAACCCTACCACCCCTCCAGTAATTGGACTAAACTAGTGACCAACAACACTTATGCCTCTACTTCCAGCGTATACATACTATATACATTTTATGGACACAGTCTATTTTACAATAGTTCTATTTTGTTTGTTTTTACTCCTGTCCTTCCTCTACCCTCAACCTCTCCCATCTATTTCTGATGTCCATCCGGTTTGATTTCTATTTGCCATATCTTTCAAACTGTGCTCTTTCACAAAAGTTCTTAACCTATAACCTATATACGTTTTACAGACCCAGTATGTTTTACATTAGTTATCGTGTTGTTATTAGTCCCAACCTTCCGCTCCATTCAACCCCTCCCATCTATCTCTTAACACCATCCATATTGGATTTCTATTTGCCATATATTTTTCAACTGTGCTGTGATGTTTCACAAAATCCGGCGTCGTTTTGCGTGTCAGTTCATAAACTATGTGCCATTTAATCTGTACGTCAAAAATCTCTTCCCAACTATTTTGCAATCTATATGGCACATCAGTACATTTTTTGGTCCGTAAATGAAACTGATATACTTTTTTATTCATCACTATTTTCTTTAACCAATTATGGTATTTAATGCAGGGTCGACAGACAAGTTCCTTACTTTTTCCCCCTTCCACTTTCCTCTTCCATTTTTGCGGTAATGCTGCAATTGGTTGGTTGTAATTTTGGGTAGAGCAGACATTTTCATATGTTTTTGTTAGCCGCATGTGCGACATAACTCCACCAGTACCTATAATATCATTTTAGAAGATTATACCTATTTTACATTTTTTCAAAAAATAATGTTTTTTTTTTATGAATTTGTATATTTGAGTTTAACCACAATATTTGTTGCATTATTTGTTCTGTCCTTACCGGAGGATTAAATTGAAATTGCAACCAACATTCTATGGCTTGTTTTAAAAAAAGCGATATTTGGGAGATGATTTCCTTTTCAAATAACTGAAAGTGAGAGGTTGTAATCTGAATAAAGGGAAAAAGGCCATTCTTGAACATAGGGTGAGACATTATTACTAATTTGCTAGAGAACCAGTTGGATTTAAGTATAACTTTTGTATAACTGAAGCCTTTAGTGAGAGGTCTAATTCTTTAATATTTAATCATTTCTGAGGGTTCTTCTCTTTGTAGAGCCTGTCCACAGGTGGAGCAGATTAAGATCTGGACTGAGGTACTCTCAGTCCGCATCCCCCCTCTTCCTAGAATAATGGTTCGACAGTTGTGGAAAGGACAGAATATGTTCTTTGATGTCCTCTCTCACAGTGAGATGTATGCGGTGTGGCCTGCAAAACAGAATAAGTCATTACTAACAATAGGAGATAACGTTATGATCTAAAGACAAATGAATCAAAGAGCATATTGTGTTGGTAAAAAAGATGCAGGGGACAGGGACAACCCTTGTAACCCATTACCTGTCATTCATCTATTTATTCACTTATTTATTTATTGCGCACTCTAATTGATTATCACGCTGTATGAAAAATGGAAATTAGTAATGTTTTAGCCTACCTATTGCTATGCTTGCCTCTTCCATCTTCCAACAGAGACCTAACTTCAGTAGGTCTAACCTGAGCAGGTCTCAGTAGGTCTAACCTCAGTAGGTCTAACCTCAGTAGGTCTAACCTGAGCAGGTCTCAGTAGGTCTAACCTCAGCAGGTCTCAGTAGGTCTAACCTAAGCAGGTCTAACTTGGCAGGTCTCAGTAAGTCTAACCTCAGTAGGTTTAACCTGAGCAGGATTCAGTAGATCTAACCTCACTAAGTCTAACTTGAGCAGGTCTCAGTAGGTCTAACCTCAGTAGGTCTAAGCTCAGTAGGTCTCAGTAGGTCTAACCTGAGTAGGTCTCAGTAGGTCTAACATCAGTAGGTCTAACCTCAGTAGGTCTAACCTCAATAGGTCTCAGTAGGTCTAACCTCAGCAGGTCTCAGTAGGTCTAACCTAAGCAGGTCTAACTTGGCAGGTCTCAGTAAGTCTAACCTCAGTAGGTCTAACCTCAGTAGGTCTAGCCTCAGTAGGTCTAGCCTCAGTAGGTCTCAGTAGGTCTAACCTCAGTAGGTCTCAGTATGTCTAACCTCAGTAGGTCTAACCTCAGAATGTCTCAGTAGGTCTAAACTCAGTAGTGTTAACCTCAGTAGGTCTCAGTAGGTCTAACCTCAGTAGGTCTAACCTCAGTAGGTCTCAGTAGGTCTAACATCAGTAGGTCTAACCTCAGCAGGTCTCAGTAGGTCTAACCTCAGTAGGTCTAACCTCCGTAGGACTCAGTAGGTCTAACCTCAGTAGGTCTCAGTAGGTCTATCCTCAGTAGGTCTAACCTCAGCAGGTCTCGCCTCAGTAGGTTTAGCCTCAGTAGGTCTAACCTCAGCACGTCTCAGTAGGTCTAACCTCAGTAGGTCTCAGTATGTCTAACCTCAGTAGGTCTAACCTCAGTAGGTCTCAGCAGGTCTAACCTCAGTAGGTCTAACCTCACTAGGTCTAACCTCACTAGGTCTCAGTAGGTCTAACCTCAGCAGGTCTAACCTCAGCAGGTCTAACCTCAGCAGGTCTAACCTCAGCAGGTCTCAGTAGGTCTAACCTCAGTAGGTCAAACCTCAGCAGGTCTCAGTAGGTCTAACCTCAGTAGGTCTAACCTCAGTAGGACTCAGTAGGTCTAACGTCAGTAGGTCCAACCTCATTAGGTCCAACCTCATTAGGTCTCAGCAGGTCTAACCTCAGCAGGTCTAACCTCAGTAGGTCTAGCCGCCGAAATTGTCGCAACCCCTATTACTAGCCTGTTCAACCTCTCTTTCGTAACGTCTGAGATCCCCAGAGATTGGAAAGCTGCCGCGGTCATCCCCCTCTTCAAAGGGGGTGACACTCTAGATCCAAACTGTTACAGACCCATATCCATCCTGCCCTGCCTTTCAAAAGTTTTTGAAAGCCAAGTCAACAAACAGATCACCGACCATTTCGAATCCCACCGTACCTTCTCCGCTATGCAATCCGGTTTCCGAGCTGGTCATGGGTGCACTTCAGCCACGCTCAAGGTCCTAAACGATATTATAACCGCGATCGATAATAGACAGTACTGTGCAGCCGTTTTCATTGACCTGGCCAAGGCTTTCGACTCTGTCAACCACCGCATTCTTATTGGCAGACTAAATAGCCTTGGTTTCTCAAATGACTGCCTCGCCTGGTTCACCAACTACTTCTCAGATAGAGTTCAATGTGTCAAATCGGAGGGCCTGTTGTCTGGACCTATGGCAGTCTCTATGGGGGTGCCACAGGGTTCAATTCTTGGGCCGACTCTTTTCTCTGTGTATATCAATGACGTCGCTCTTGCTGCTGGTGACTCTCAGATCCACCTCTACGCAGACGACACCATTTTGTATACATCTGGCCCTTCATTGGACACTGTTAACAAACCTCCAAACGAGCTTCAATGCCATACAACACTCCTTCAGTAGCCTCCAACTGCTCTTAAACACTAGTAAAACTAAATGCATGCTCTTCAACCGAATGCTGCTTGCACCCGCCCACCCGACTAGAATCACTACTCTCTACGGGTCTGACCTAGAGTATGTGGACAACTACAAATATCTAGGTGTCTGGTTAGACTGTAAACTCTCCTTCCAGACTCACATTAAGAATCTCCAATCCAAAGTTAAATCTAGAATCGGTTTCCTATTTCGCAATAAAGCCTCCTTCACTCATGCTGCCAAACATGTCCTCGTAAAACTGACTATCCTACCGATCCTTGACTTCGGCGATGTCATTTACAAAATAGCCTCCAACACTCTACTCAGCAAATTGGATGTAGTCTATCACAGTGCCATCCGTTTTGTCTCCAAAGCCCCATATAATACCCACCACTGTGACCTGTACGCTCTTGTTGGCTGGTCCTCACTACATATTCGTCGCCAAACCCACTGGCTCCAGGCCATCTATAAATCACTGCTAGGCAAATCCCCGCCTTATCTTAGCTCATTGGTCACCATAGCAACACCCACCCGTAGTCTGCGCTCCAGCAGGTATATCTCACTGGTCATCCCCAAAGCCAACACCTCCTTTGGCCGCAATTCCTTCCAGTTCTCTGCTGCCAATGACTGGAACGAAATGCAAAAATCTCTGAAGCTGGAGACACTTATCTCCCTCACTAACTTTAAGCATCAGCTGTCAGAGCACCTTACCAATCACTGCACCTGTACACAGCCCATCTGAAACTACCTCATCCCTATATTGTTATTTATTTTGCTCATTTGTACCCCAGTATCTCTATTTGCACATCATCTCTTGCACATCTATCATTCCAGTGTTAATACTAATTGTAATTATTTTGCACTATAGCCTATTTATTGCCTTACCTCCATAACTTGCTACATTTGCACACACTGTATATATATGTATTTCTGTTGTATTTTTTACTTTGTTTTGTTTTACCCCATATGTAACTCTGTGTTGTTGTTTTTATCGCACTGCTTTGCTTTGTCTTGGCCAGGTCGCAGTTGTAAATGAGAACTTGTTCTCAACTGGTTTACCTGGTTAAATAAAGGTGAAATAAATAAATAAATAAATAAAAGGTCTAACCTCTGCAGGTCTCAGTAGGTCTAACCTCATTAGGTCCAACCTCAGTAGGTCTCAGCAGGTCTAACCTCAGCAGGTCTAACCTCAGCAGGTCTAACCTCAGCAGGTCTAACCTCAGCAGGTCTCAGTAGGTCTAACCTCAGTAGGTCTAACCTCAGTAGGTCTCAGTAGGTCTAACCTCATTAGGTCCAACCTCATTAGGTCCAACCACATTAGGTCTCAGCAGGTCTAACCTCAGCAGGTCTCAGTAGGTCTAACCTCATTAGGTACAACCTCAGTAGGTCTCAGCAGGTCTAACCTCAGCAGGTCTAACCTCAGCAGGTCTAACCTCAGCAGGTCTCAGTAGGTCTAACCTCAGTAGGTCTAACCTCAGCAGGTCTCAGCAGGTCTAACCTCAGCAGGTCTAACCTCAGCAGGTCACAGTAGGTCTAACCTCATTAGGTCCAAACTCAGTAGGTCTCAGCAGGTCTAACCTCAGCAGGTCTAACCTTAGCAGGTCTCAGTAGGTCTAACCTCAGTAGGTCTAACCCCAGCAGGTCTCAGCAGGTCTAACCTCAGCAGGTCTAACCTCAGCAGGTCTAACCTCAGCAGGTCTCAGTAGTTCTAACCTCAGTAGTTGTAACCTCAGTAGGTCTAACCTCAGTAGGTCTAACCTCAGTAGGACTAGCCTCAGTAGGTCTAGCCTCAGTAGGTCTCAGTAGGTCTAACCTCAGTAGGTCTCAGTATGTCTAACCTCAGTAGGTCTAACCTCAGTAGGTCTCAGCAGGTCTAACGTCAGTAGGTCTAACCTCACTAGGTCTAACCTCAGTAGGTCTCAGTAGGTCTAACCTCAGCAGGTCTAACCTCAGCAGGTCTAACCTCAGCAGGTCTCAGTAGGTCTAACCTCAGGTCTAATCTCAGTAGGTCTCAGTAGGTCTAACCTCAGTAGGTCTAACCTCAGCAGGTATCACTCAATAGGTCTAACCTCAGCAGGTCTCACTCAGTAGGTCTAACCTCAGTAGGTCTCAGTATGTCTAACCTCAGCAGGTCTAACCTCAGCAGGTCTCAGTAGGTCTAACCTCAGGTCTAATCTCAGTAGGTCTCAGTAGGTCTAACCTCAGTAGGTCTAACCTCAGCAGGTATCACTCAATAGGTCTAACCTCAGCAGGTCTCACTCAGTAGGTCTAACCTCAGTAGGTCTCAGTATGTCTAACCTCAGTAGGTCTAACCTAAGTAGGTCTAACCTCAGTAGGTCTAGCCTCAGCACGTCTCAGTATGTCTAACCTCAATAGGTCTAAACTCAGTAGTGTTAACCTCAGTAGGTCTAACCTCAGTAGGTCTAACCTCAGTAGGTCTAACCTCAGTAGGTCTCAGTAGGTCTAACCTCAGTAGGTCTAACCTCAGTAGGTCTCAATAGCTCTATCCTCAGTAGGTCTAACCTCAGCAGGTCTCACTCAGTAGGTCTCGCCTCAGTAGGTTTATCCTCAGTAGGTCTAACCTCAGCACGTCTCAGTAGGTCTAACCTCAGTAGGTCTCAGTATGTCTAACCTCAGTAGGTCTAACCTCAGTAGGTCTCAGCAGGTCTAACCTCAGTAGGTCTAACCTCACTAGGTCTAACCTCACTAGGTCTCAGTAGGTCTAACCTCAGCAGGTCTAACCTCAGCAGGTCTAACCTCAGCAGGTCTCAGTAGGTCTAACCTCAGGTCTAATCTCAGTAGGTCTCAGTAGGTCTAACCTCAGTAGGTCTAACCTCAGCAGGTCTCACTCAGTAGGTCTAACCTCAGCAGGTCTCAGTAGGTCTAACCTCAGTAGGTCTAACCTCAGCAGGTCTTACCTCAGCAGGTCTAACCTCAGCAGGTCTAACCTCAGCAGGTCTCAGTAGGTCTAACCTCAGGTCTAATCTCAGTAGGTCTCAGTAGGTCTAACCTCAGTAGGTCTAACCTCAGCAGGTCTCACTCAGTAGGTCTAACCTCAGCAGGTCTCAGTAGGTCTAACCTCAGTAGGTCTAGCCTCAGTAGGTCTAGCCTCAGCACGTCTCAGTATGTCTAACCTCAGTAGGTCTCAGTATGTCTAACCTCAGTAGGTCTAACCTCAGTAGGTCTAACCTCAGCACGTCTCAGTATGTCTAACCTCAGTAGGTCTAACCTCAGTAGGTCTAACCTCAGCAGGTCTCAGTAGGTCTAACCTCAGTAGGTCTAACCTCCCTGTTCTGCCTCTGTTCCCTTTACCTTGTCCTGACTCTGTGTGACGTCCAAGTATGCCTAACTTTTCCTGAATAACCTGTGCAAAAAACAATATTTGAACACAGTCATTATAAAAGGTTATTTGGACACAAATCCATTGACGAGGTGGCCAGGGCCCCATTGTGAACATATTTCTGCCCAGTGTGGATGCAGTCAGGCCACTGAAAGCACATAAATTAACTTAAGTTAATCTGAATAGCAAGAAAATACAGAGGACCCAATGTAGACAGAAGAGCCACATCCAACTCACATGTAAGTATCATGTGTGGATGCAGGTATTGGGATCAGTGTGTGTTCTGATCAGCATATTCTGATTTAAGTAAGAAATGTAGACATAATACATAGCCTAATCATACCTGTAGACGGCTGTTTGTCAGTTGATATACTGGTATGAATGTCTTCTTGCAGACAGTCAGCCTCTGGCCTCCCTGTTGTAAGGTGTATTGAAAACTTTGTTTTCTTTTAGGCTGGTCCTAATGCTGCCTTTTTCACTTCACTTTGTGCTGGATTGTAAACACACACACACACAGGTTTGCAACAGTTCTCCAGGTTTGCAACATTGTATCATATCAGTCAGTCAGTGAGACATCTGATCCCTCTGACTCTCCCCACTGTCTCCCCCTTTTATTTATATAATCCTGTGTTGATTGACAGACACACACACACACACACACACACACACACACACACACACACACACACACACACACACACACTGCAGGTTTGCAACATTGTATCATTACTGCCTGACCAGGACCTCAGTCCCTGTGTCTGTCAATCAACACACTACACCAAGAGCCTTGACAGTTTGATGATGTTCTCATCATGGCGCCATCCCATTTTTGACAGTCACAGAGACCAGGGTTCATGTACTTGTCAGGCACTAATATCTCATTAAGCTTCAAAACTAAACTGATGCCTGTATAATTCTCTACGCCCATCTTACTGAATATATGAAGTAGCTCTACATGTCCCTAACTAGCCTAGCATAAATAATATTATTATAATAATAACATCTATACAGGTCCATTAACCCATAACTAACAGTAACAATGATGATAGACAATCTGCTTGAATATCCTTGTCTAGCTTACACTACATGAGTAATGGTTAGACACTCCCTCTCTAGACCAGCGCAGCAGGGCTGCAACTTCTACTGGTGTATCATCTTCTTCAACGTTCAACGATTGTACAATAATATGGCTATTCAGTCGTTTTGGATCTTATTTGGATCTCACCTGCTCCAAGTATGAGAGAATCCAAACTTGCTGCTTCTCGTATGGGACTGTGTAGAATCCGCTGAGAAGCTGCAATTTACACTCCTCCGTCAACTTTCCACAATCCCTTCAGCACTTATCGGTACACATTCTTCCCTAATGCAGGAAACAGTGTAACGTTACTGATAGCCATGAATCATCAGGTGGATAGATAGATGCAAATTATATGTTTCTCCTGACTAATCTAGCAACCACTTTCTTAATGTATAGCCTATTAGCTGATATGTTTCGCTCTAGTTACATAAGCGAGCCAACACAGAACAACATAAAGTTATTAGCTAGCAAGCTACTGTAGCTTGGCTTGATATATGGTTCTTCCATGTACCTCTTTTGGACAAGCTTTCCTTGTTTGTTCTTGCCCCTTACGATTAATATAGGGTTTGCCCGCTGCCCTCAATGTCTTCCGTTGCCTGTCCTTCCATTCCTTTAGTTTTTTTTCATAGACATTTCAACGGTTTTCCTCAGCAGCAGAAAACGAAAGCGTGTGTCTGTCCATTCTTAATTGTGTACATAAAAGTTTTTTCCGCGTGAGCCTATTTTAATATCTAAAATACCATCTCATTAGCGCATGAAAGTCTCGCGAAACCACTTCATTTAATAGATACGATATTAAATAATGACGTTTGATTTCTATTTTTTTTTTTTTTACATATAGGGTTTTTCTTCACAGGGGCTCGTTTATTGAATACATAAATAAAGTTGCACAATGACCACTTGTTGTCTATCAAATACATTATTACAGTTATTGGTTAGCTAGCTATCGATTTTTTTTTGCCATATTAGCATAGACATGACATCAGTCAAAATACCTCAAAACAAGGCATGGTATCAAGAACAAGATAAAACTAGCTGAAACGAGCCATTTACGATTCCCAACATGGCAGTTTCTTGTCATTGTTGCTAGCTATCTGGCCATCCAGAATCACAACACATGGACTTCTGCCCCATTGAAGCATGAGCATCGTTTTTGTGATGTTCTCAGCTAACCCGTCTCTGGTGGTCAATTTACTTATTTTAAGAAATGCCATTGATTGGTGGAGATAGAGTCTAAGATATTTGATAGGCTGATGCGGAATGTGTTACAGTAAGTAATCGCTGTTAGCTGGTGAGGTTAGCATAGGACTAACGTGTGTGTGCCAGGTTATCTGATGGGACCAGCTACGATGGAGTGTTCTATCGCGTTCAAGTAAATCAATGAGTTGAATTGGCTGATGCGCATTTTGAGACGGGGAAACAGTTTAAAGTTACACATTTTCTAATGTTCTCAAGTATGGCCCCACAGAGTCTGGCTTTAAGGTTATCTAGTTTCTAGAAGAAAGAAAAACAAACAATCAATGTCCAAGGTCCATACATTTATCTCCATTGTGTCTTTCTATACAATAAAGTGGGAAATAAATTAATTCTGCAAATGTAATGTATTCCTACCCAAAGTTCTAGGCCTTTTTAGACTAGATACATACATTTTCAATCAGTGTTGAATATGGAAATGTACAGAGGTCCTGTCTAATCATTATTTGACAGAGATTGAGGGGTACTTTCTAATGGGTTGCTGGTGTTAATTTACAACCAGAGTTAACAACACTATTGATTGATGATTGATGATGTTTGTTGTCATTCTAGAAAACTGACCTTGTGGTGACTCTCAATAGTTAGTACGTAATTGAAAATAATTTGAGGGGCGACAACAGTGAAATCAGACTAAGGCTGCGTTTAGACAGGCAGCCCAATTCTGATCTTTTTTGCACTAATTGGACTTTTGACCAATCACATCAGATCTTTTCACATCAGATCTTTTTCAGAACTGATCTGATTATTCAAAAGACCAATTACTGAAAAAAAGATCAGAATCGTGCTGCCTGTCTAAACGCAACCAAAGAGACTGTGGTATGTGGTTATCTATCTCCATTCCCCGCAGACTGAGAAGATACAGACCAGAGACTGCTTGATTACTCAGTTGGGACTTGCGTGTGTGTGTGCGTGCGTGTATGCGGGTGTGTATGTGTGTGTGTGCCTTCCTACGCATAATTGTGTGTGTGTGTGTATGTGTGCGTGCATGCATGCTTGTGTGTGTGTAAGTGTGCATGTGTGGTCTGGTAGGGTCTCGGGAACATCAATAGCTCTTATCCTGCGTCTCCTAAGAACATATTTTATCACCCAACCCCAGACAGACACAGCATTCAGGAGAAAGTCAGCACAAACAGACCCTGTGGTTTGGGACAAACGTTTGAATAAGATCTTGCTGTATTCGGTTAAATGTTAAGGGCCCGTATTCACTCAGAGTCTCAGGAGCACCAAAGTTATAAGACTGTTTCTCAGTAATCAACATGTCTATGACTTTGATAGCTGGCACTGGTGTGGCTCGCTACTTTGTAACATTTTGCCAAAGCGATAACATCGTAGGCAGCTAGAGCTGTCAGCTGCAGAACTTGTTGAACTAATCATGGCAGAGCAACAACTGTCTTGAAAACGAATTAATTAGCTAGAATTTCACTACACTAGACAGCTAGCTTGAAGAGGTAGTATTTATTCAGCATTAGGTGTGAACTGGTGCTGTTAGCATCCCTTTTGGATTGGAGACTGGCTCAGCTTGCAAGCAAAGCTAGCAGTTATAGTGAACAAATTGTCGTGCAGATTTCAAATTTCATAAATACTGGTCCTACAACCATAGGCGGCACGTCCAATAGGCTAGGCTTCCCCTAAAGTTAATTGAACTGAACTTGCCAACATTACATAATCACTCCTGAGTTCTTAGCTTCTTAAAACAAATAGCTGTGGATTGTTTTAAATCACAAGGCAGCATTTCAGAAATAGGTGATTTGCAGCTGTCAGTGAAAAGCATCTAAAATAGGCCCTAGGCCTATCGGAATATTTCAAAATACAATCGCTGGAAAAACACAAAAGAGAGGAGACATCAAAACTCTCAATTCCCAACAGGCTATTGAGCAAACAGTAACCTATACACTGACTTCGGAAAGTATTCAGACCCATTTACTTTTTCCACATTTTGTTACGTTACAGCCTTATTCTAATAAAACATCCTCAGCAATCTACACAGAATGCCCCATAATGAAAAACCGAAAACAGGTTTGTATAAATATTTGCACATTTATTAAAAATTAAAAACAGAAATACCTTATTTACATAAGTATTCAGACCCTTTGCTATGAGACTCAAAATTGAGCTCAGGTGCATCCTGTTTCCATTGATCATCCTTGAGATGTTTCTACAACTTGATTGGTGTGCACCTGTGGTAAATTCAATTGATTGGACATGTTTTGGAAAGGCACACACCTGCCTATATAAGGTCCCACAGTTGACAGTGCATGTCAGAGCAAAAACCAAGCCATGAGGTCAAAGGAATTGTCCGCAGAGCTCAGAGACAGGATCGTGTCGAGGCACAGATCTGGGGAAGGGTACCAAAACATTTCTGCAGCATTGAAGGTCCCCAAGAACACAGTGGCCTCCATCATTCTTAAATGGAAGAAGTTTGGAACCACCAAGACTCTTCCTAGAGCTGGCCGCCCTGCCAAACTGAGCAATCGGGGGAGAAGGGCCTTGGTCAGGGAGGTAACCAAGAACCCGATGGTCACTCTGACAGAGCTCCAGAGTTCCTATAGGTTATATGCTACAGCTCCCCCCTGATTACCGTATTAACCCCTCGTTCCATGTGTCTCTCCTCAGGCCGGTGGTGGCAGGTCCGCTCCAGCAGTCTGAGGTGCGGGAGGTTCCTCCGCCCACTCTGGACATCGAGGGGGTCCCGGCGTATACTGTACTAGCCATCATGGACTCAAGGCGTCGGGCGAGGGTCCTTCAGTACCTCGTGGAGTGGAGGGGTACGGTCCGGAGGAGAGATGCTGGGTGCCGGTGGAGGACATCCTGGACCCTTCTTTACTGCAGGAATTTCACCGTCTCTACCCGGATCATCCTGCGCCTTGTCCTCCGGGTCGTCTCCGAGGCCGGTGTTGGCGCGCTGCTGGAGCCGCGCGTCAAGTGGGGGTGGTACTGTCACGGCTTACGCCGAAGTTGGTGCCTCTCCTTGTTCGGGCGGCGTTCGGCGGTCGTCGTCACCGGCTTTCTAGCTGCCACCGATCTACGTTTCTTTTTCCATTTGTTTTGTCTTGATTGTACACACCTGGTTCCCATTACATTATATTATTTCCCTATTTAACCCTCTGGTTCCCACATGGTTTTGTGCGTGTTTGTTCTTTGTTTTGTGTCTAAGACTTATTTGAGCTGGTGTGTTTTCCCTGCGTGGAAATTAGTGTTGTTTATTTTTCGAGTAAAGTACGTTGTTTACTCAGTTCTGTGTCCTGCGCCTGACTCCGTCCTACCGCTGCACATTGACACTTGACAGCTATTGTCTGCAGTCATGGAGAGTAAAGTGTTGTAGAATTGCATGAAATGTGTTTAGAAAATGCCAACATTTTCTCTGAAATTTCTCGGTTCCTCCTTAAAAATGGCCCCCTAGCTGAGATGTGTGCAAAGAAAGGAGAAGAAAGGCATAACGTTCTTTTTTGCAAACAGTGAGTCAGTTATTATTATATTATATTATTAGCCTAATTT